AAATTAAACGTATATATATAATACATAACAAAACGTATTTATAATAAAACATATTAAAAATAACATATTTCGAAAATATTAATAACATATTTTTAATTTATTAATTACCAAAAAAATAAAAAATAAAAATAATTTTTTTTTTCAAAGGACCGGCCGTAACCGGTTATGGGACCGGAACCGGGACCGGTTATCCTTAACCGGTTATATGAAAGCTTGACCGGTTATAGTGGTTTTTGTCGGGACCGGGACCGGTTATAGAGGGACCGGTTAACGCCGGTTTTTGTCACGATTAGGCCCGGCCGTAACCGGTTAAGGCCCGGCCCGGGACCGATTTTTGGCCATCTCTACTTTGTATAGACAAGCCAGAAGCTCTGCATGCACTATGCAGAGACTCTTCATGGTGCTTCGTCTGAAAATGAAGACTTTAGAGTTCGGGTGAGCTAACTCTGAAGAATGACTCTTCATATTTGTACTCTAGAAATAACTCTGAAGTAAAACTCTAAAGAATGACTCTTTAGACTTGTACTCTTGAAATAACTCTGAAGTATAAATCGATCTCACTTAATCAGAGTTCAGACTTCTAAGTCTGGAAAAAAAGACTTCTGAGTTCAGATCAGAGTTCGGGTAAACTAAGTCTGAAAAAGAATACTTTAGAATTCTGGTGAGTTAACTTTGAAGAATGACTCTTCAGACTTGTACTCTTCAGACTTATACTCTTCAGACTTGTAGAAGACTTCGGAGTTCAGACTTTAAGTCTAAAAAAGAAGACTTCAGACTTCTTTTTCTAAGTCTAAAAAAAAAGACTTCAGAGTTCAGACTCCAGAGTTCGGGTGAGCTAAGTCTGAAAAAGCAGATTTCAGAGTTCGGGTGAGCTAACTCTGAAGAATGACTTCAGACTTGTTCTCTTGAAATAACTATGAAATAAAACTTTTCAATAAATTGAATTTAAAATAAAATGAAGTTAATCCTAGAATAAATTTGAATTTAGAAATGAAACTATATCAGTAAATTGAATTTAAACTTAGAAGTAACACTATTTTTTTGGTAATCAGTTACCACACGAATTAACTAACTCAAGAATAAAATTAATTGCATCCTAAATTAGTGAGATTGATTGAATAAGATGACACATATCAATCAAATGACTGTAATTGAACTGCTAATGTAAATTGTGTTTAAATATGTTCAAATAAGTGTAAGTGACTGGCAATGTAAATTATGTCTAGATACGTATTTAGACTAGAAAACACTAAAATCGGCTCACCAGATGATGATATATGTCACCCTAATTACTTATTTATTATAAGTATAGATGTTTAAAAAAAATAATGATTAAATAAAAAAGCTTTTAAATAAGTTATTCCATTGGAGGGAGAACATTTTGTTAGATAGAATTTTAGTGGAAATTTTTTACGTGGAAAAATATAAGAAGTCATGGATGTTGGATGCTCTGTGGAGATCTATAAGTGGTTCAGGAAGCGTGGCAGGATGAGGAGACTCGGATAATAATACCCAAGCGTTGTTCACAGTCCAAATTTCTACACGAATGCTGGTCGATCGTTCATGATTGGGAGAATTTAGGGAATTATCCTTTAGGTTTGTGATTGCGTACATATTTCTTCTGTGTTAGAAAGCTTAGGCTACATCCGTTGTGTTAGAATTCGTGCAGAGGATTGCGTGCAGTTGAACATTGTTCAAATTAGGGTTATGAATGGCGGTCTGCTGTTATCCGCATACCCCAATACAGGGCCACAATGGAGTTTGAAGCGGATATTGCGGGGTACAGCAACTTCAAATTCAAGGTATATGATTAATCGTAATGTAAAGAGTTTATCATCATCATCAGAGGCAGAAACTGGTGTTAGTGGTGAATTGAGAAGGGAAATTTTGGAACAAGTGGATAAGGAGCTGAGCAAAGGTGATGACAGAGCGGCACGCTCTCTTGTGAAAGATTTGCACTCTAAACCAGGGGGTCTGAGATGCTTTGGTGCTGCTCAACAGGTAAACTCTACCCGCACGTGCACGTGCAAGTACACGTACATGATAGTATTTGAGGAATCATTATTGATGACACTATTCAACAAGATTTGTGAAAGAAATACAAAGAGGAGGAAGAAGATGTAAAGAGGGTAGGGTCTCTATTAAAAGATAGATTACTAAAGAACGAATACAGAATAAACTGGAAACCGAACCAAATACCTACCTTATTTGGTTAACCGAACAGTTTAATCTGAAACCAAATAACCGAAACCATTCAAGCCAATTCTCATTCGGTTCAGGTGGGTTATTTTGTTTCAGTAATTTTTGACACCCCTAGGAAGAAATGTGTAAGGGTTAGGGTTTTAATTTGGCGTGATTAGTTTAGGGTTTTTGTTCTACCTATTTTGTTGCATTTTTGTCCCACTTAGTCTGGTTTTGTCCTAGTCTTAAGCCGCACGAGTGGGACAACAAGTTTTTCCTCTTTTATGTACCGTATACCAAATGCAACCTAAGGGCTAAGTTACACCAAAGCATTGGGATATAGAAAAAATACCCAAATTGCAATATTATTCTAATACCCCCTTCAAACTCCCAATGTGGCAGGAAGAAGCATTGAGAGTTTGCTTACAAGAAACCGCAAACTCTCATGTGACTTGGTAAATAAGTCTACAAGCTGCAAGTAGGAAGGAACAAAAGGCAAAGTAATGGTGCCAAGCAGATGGTGACACGTAAAATGACAATCTATCTCAAAATGTATGGTATGTTTGTGGAAAATTGAGTTGTGAGCAAAATAGGTGACAAAAATTTCGATGAAGGCCGAAATCCGAAACCCTTGCCTCTGCAAAAATCCCTCCAAAACCCAAAACCTTGATTATGGCGTTGTCGAAATCCCAAAATCATGAAATCCTCAAAATCACCCTTTTTGCTGCTGTTGATATAAAAAAAATCAGGCCAGAGCCCTGAACCCCGAACCTCGAGAGTGGGTGCACTCCCCTGCAACCCCAACCAACTCACCACGGAGTTGGATCTGCAAAAACTGTCATTAAACTTAATAACTAGATTCTCTTGAATCTTGCTTCCACCATGATAACATGATTAGTCAAAAATTCGAAAGAGGAGGAAGAAGATGCAAAGAGGCTAGGGTTTCTAATCAAAAGTAGATTATGGAAGAATGAATAAGAATAAACCCTTAATGGCTAAAAATACACTAAGCAATAGGAAAGTACTCAAATACCTAAGATATATTCTAATAATCACTACATTTCCTTGTTTGATTTTCCAAATCTCACCACTAACATAAACTATTACAATGTGCATTGGATCACTTTTTTCATTATAATAAGTCATTGCGAGAGTTTTATGGTAACTTTGATGGTTGAGATAGAATTGGCCAAAATTTATCTTCAAATTTAGAGGAAACTACGTTTTTCAATTTTTGCCCCTGTGGTTTCTTAAAAATTGCTATTTTCGTTCTTGTGGTTTTTATGGGTTGAGATAGAATTGCCAAAAATTATCTTCCGATGACTCCGCAACCTATGTCTCTTGTTCAGCCAAACATTCACCTTACAGTTTATAATGATTCCTTATGGGTTGAATCCATGGGAAGTTGGATTTGAAAAAGGAATTGATCATGATTTTGAACCGGTTCTTTCCGTTAAAGTTTGGAAATAGAACAATTCCTTCTGTCGCATTTCAATCTGAATCAGAGTTCAGGAAGTTCTCTGCCTAATTAGTTCTCTCAAGAACATTTTGCCATCAACATGGAAAATGACTCTCGTTCGGCTAATGAATAACCAATTTAGCAATGTTTCAACGATCATGAGAAATTGTCAAGGGTCTTGATTTCCAGAGGGAATGAAGAAATACATCATGTGGTCTTTCCCATGCTTCTGACGACAGAATTGCATCTAATTATTTGAAGAGAAAGGGCATGATGCAACTGATAATGGTTCTGAGGCTCAGTTGCAATTTGCACCAGCATCATCTCGAGGTCTTTTTGGTGAAGAAGACACCTCTTGTCAAAGGCTCCATGTTCTTCATCTGCTAATGGGGGGAGAGATGACCGGTGAAGGAGCAGGTGGCAGCTGGAGAAGGCTTGGTTGCTTAAGTCTGTGTTTTGAGATATATATATATATATATATATATATATATATATAAATATATATAAAATCTTAAATTTATTGATGGAAAATAAGTAAAAAAGATAAAAACACCAAAATATCCCTCACTTAATAGACCTTTTTTAACGGTGTTATCCCCATGAACAAAAACAAGAAAGAATTGCAAACTGCAGTGACGGAAAAAGTAACGAATTACAAAAACCATAATTTCATAACCACTAGGTTGAAAATAGCAATCTTTAACAAACCATAGGGACAAAAAATGTAGCTTACTCTTAAATCTAATTTAAATTTAAACTGGACCTTTTTCTTGGATCGAGTACTTCACACATGAAAACTGAGAAGTGAGTGCTTGTATAAGGTAGCCAAGAAGGGGATGTGAGAGAGGGGCTTCATTTGCATTCATCTTATCTCCATGTGTAATGTGTGTGACTTCTCTACTCATCCTTACTCCTATTCTTTTATTTCACATTTGAATGATTATAGATTTCCAGTTAATCTAACTGACCTTTTCATTGCTTTGCCTGATTGTTGTATTTCATCAATTAAAATACTCATAGTTTTCTTAGAGAGAGCATTGGCTTCTTTCTTTCATTGAGGGGGAGCAGAGGAGTGTGTATGAGTTTTTCCATATATAAATATCATATAATTAAAAAACATTGGCCTTTATAACAAGTATTTCCTTGTAATGTCTAATATTTGCAACAATGTTCGTATAGAATTTTCTTTAATAGAGTAAAATAAAAAGTGTAGGTCTTTTCTTTAAGGAAGACAGTACCATTTCTTTTGATCTTCATTTAAATTAAATTTCATTTATTATTACCAGCATATATCAGGCGTCACTTGTCACTCCATACACTTTCCATTATATCATATACCGTATATAGCCTTTGTGGTATGCTTTCATCCTCTATGGTTCATGATCATGTGGGTTCTGCTTTGATGTGAGCCAGTGAAACCTAGTTGGTTATACTGTTTTTTTCCTCCATTTAACCAAACATGTTACAGATTATGAAACTGTACCAAGTCCTTGTGGTTCCTTATTGCTTTCGTTGTAGGCTATTATAGCCTTCAGTAACAATATGCTTTTCACCTTGTACAGTTCAAAATTTCATGACTGAATAAGAAGATTTAATATAGGTACCCCAGAGGTTATACAGCTTAAACGAACTAAAACTGAATGGCATAGAGACTTCATATCTTCTATCGCCAAAGGACAACACCCTCGGAGCTATAGAAAGAAATCTGCTGATTGCTGCTCTATTAGGCTTCATTTCTGCTTGGAGCGTGTTTGATTTAGGCCCAGAAGAGCTCTTATATTTCTCCTTGGGGCTCTTTTTTCTATGGACATTGGATTCGGTATGTGTTCTGAAACTTCTTGCTGTTATGTGTTGTAATACATAGTTGTGTATGTGTGTGTTGGGGGAAGGGGGGGGGGGATGTTCTCTTAGCAGTATAATAATTGACTTAGGGGATGCTTACTTGCATATAACATATATTTCATATAAAAGAAATATAGATTACACCTCATAGGTCCCACTAGTACAAGAATCCTATATGTACAGAATTGACATATGAAAAATTTCAAAATAATATCCCTGCACTATCACATGTATATCAACATGTATCTTCAAAATACACATGCATCAAGTTGATCTTCATAAAGCAGATAACATATAAGGAAAACGATCATATTTTCCCCTTCCCCTTATTATCCCGAGACCCCGCAGTTCCTGCAATGCACATTTTTGTAACACAAACTGAGGGTTAGACCGGAAGGTCTAGTGAGTAAATCCCTTCTTTGCAAATGCAGGGTGAAGATCACCAAAGCTTGATGAAACATCTTTTATGTAGAAATAAATGCATTTCAGCTAAAACATGTAATCTGTTTGATAATCAATATACGAAGTCAACAGATTGCTATACTACATAGCACAAATGCAACATATTGGAACTCTCATTCCCTTAAACCATAAACTCTTCCGGCTCAACGTCCAAAGTCCTTCTAACTCAATGGGCCAGAGCTTCACTACCCTTGATAATCAGAGCCTCTATAACCCAATGACAATGCCCAACCAGAGACCCTCTGAATCATTAGTGTCTCTAATTCAGAAAGAATCTACCAAAATTTTAAAAGATGGATAAACTAGAGTCAGAGCTCCTCTGACTCTTAATTTTATTTATAAATATATTTGAAGAAAAGATAAATTTAAAAGACATAGTTATGATACAGATCTCAGACACAGAGCTCGGGTACAGAGCTTTAAACAATAAGAAATAATTATATTCAAGATGCAGAGCTTCTGTATAAAACATACAGAGTTTCTGGTTTATAAAATTTCCAAAAAAGTCTTTTCCCATAATCAGAGATTCTCTGGTCCTACTAAAAGACCAACCAGAGCCTCTCTGCATATGTCAAAACTTGATAGAAAACTTTAGGCAATGATAGCCTCTGATGTCAAATCATTTTCCCCTTCTCAATAACATCAAAGTTATTATTTCTAAAAAGAACAATGCCTCTAAATCATCAAGTCACAAAGAAATGCTGATTTAGACTTATTGTATCTGATTATTGACAATAACAAGAGTTATATTAATAACCACACCTGAAATTGCCACCCTTATAACCATAGGTACACCTCTCCTTGATATGTCACCTTTATTTCTTCGTCAAAATAGGGTTTCTTACCAGAACAGACTTACGTCACCACGTCTGGAAGTACCCAACACCCAGTTTCAAGCCAGAACAGACAAATGTCACCACGTCTGGGGGAACTACCTCTTAAAACAAAGTTTCATTCTAGAACAGACTTATGTCACCATGTCTGGTAGAAACATTTTCCAAAATACAGTTTCAAACCAGAACAGACTTATGTCACCACGTCTGGTGGTAACATTTTCCAAAATACAGTTTCAAACCAGAACAGANTTCAAACCAGAACAGACTTATGTCACCACGTCTGGTGGTAACATTTTCCAAAATACAGTTTCAAACCAGAACAGACTTATGTCACCACGTCTGGTAGAAACATTTCCCAAAATACAGTTTCTGACCATAACAGACTTATGTCACCACGTCTAGTAGAAACATTTTCTTTTCCACTTTAAAAGATATAAAATACCCCTTTTTCAAGATATAACAATTTCAGATCCAAATAAATGTTAATTGTGAGAATCCCAATATTAAAACTCAAGTTCAACAATTAAACTGTACGGACAGCTTGTGTCCGGACAAGCTTATCCGGCCAACACATGTTTGGACAAACTTAGCCGGACACTCTATCCAGACAACACAATTCACAAGAAAACAGCCTATCCGGATACACACTCTCTCCGGACATCATAGTGTTCGGACACAAGTGAATGGGTCAAACACAAGACCCTTAATCCAGGCAACACTCATCCGGATATTCTTTTATCAGACAACAGTTACCGGTCATATATCCTCATCGGTCAACATAGTGAGTGGATGTGCCCTCTTCGGACAATGCTATGTCCGGACACAATTTCATCACATTCAACTCCAGACAACACAGTGACCGGACTACTCCAGTCCGGTCAACATGGTGGCTGGTGAAGAATCCTAAATCGGTCATTGAAGATGACCAAGAACAAATGCAGTATTTCAAATATCATCATATCAAAACTCTAAACCAATAATCAAAGCATATGTAAAGGATGTTTTTGCTGAATACTCACCTTATGCAAATTTAGAAGTCGAAGATGAAATAGCAATATGAAAACAACTACCAAACTGATTTCAATTCCAGACTTAGAATGAAAACTCACTGCAACTCCTCTCTCTCTCTATTCTTTCCAAGAAAGGCAAGAAAATTTTCCTTCCCTCAAACCCTCCCTATTTATATACCTTTCCATTAAGGGAAAGGCGGTTAAACACCAAAACCTCATGCATGCACATATATTATGGAATAAATCCATATTCACACACAACATATGCATACACGTAAATCATGCATACATTTTTATGCATGAAAAGTATACAGATACTCACATATTAATCTCATGTAAGCATGTATCCAGATGATTAATTTTAACAATTAATCACATATTCACGTAATCACATATCAAATAATCACATAATAATTTACCTCACGTGATAACCAAAACCCAGTTATCACATCGTTCCCACGACTCCCTTCTCCATCTATGCTTCCCTCTGTTTTTACAAGGCCTCTTGATGAAATCATCAAAATACCCACTTTAAATTAGATAAAAAAGCCAAAAAAATCAAAAAAATGAACCACAGTTCTGGATTTACCCAAAAATTTCTCTTGGATTGCTTCAGAGAAACCTGAGAGAAGTACGAGGCATCTTGATCTTGGTCACGTCTTTATTTGGTTTCTTCTAAAACCCTAAACAAGAACAATGGTATGTATGTGTGCTTAAAAAAGAAGAACAAGGAGCATAAACATTCTTAGGGAATGGAATATTTGTAACATCCTGTTCTCGGGGGTATCGTTCTTTGCCCTTGGTACAACTGAAAGAAAGAAACTTCATATCTTAAACGTTTATTTCGTTATAATAGAGTTAGTACATCAGCGGAAATATGGAAATTTACAACTTATAATATTCTAACCTCTTAGAATAGCAACACTTCAGCTTGTTCCTACTCCTTGATTCCTGAGATAAATACATGAATACATAAGCTTTAAGCTTAGTGAGTTGGTTACGGTTTCATGATAAAACATTCTTTCCAAATAAACATAATTCTTATTAACTTTCATGTATAAAAACATTTCTTTGAGATCTCATGGTTACATGTTAAGTAAACCAACTTCTCAAAGGTTCTTTCACCTTGGGTCCACATAAGGGTTGCCCAATAAGATCCATTTGCAAGACGTACCTTCTTTTTTTATCTCGTACGTTGGATATTTAAATGGTTATACTTAACATGTATAAAAACTTTCATATACCACATGAGCATCATGACATAAAAGGTGTACTTTGCCACATAACATAACTTTTACAAGAAGATATGGCAATACTCTTTCATGCATAAAAAATTTATATATATATATATATATATATATCTATACTATATTATAAAGCATTTGACAAAAACTCTTAAAAACCACTTTTTATGTGTAAAGTACTGTTTATTAATGCAAGCATTTGACAAAAACTCTTAAAAACCATTTTTTATGCGTAAAGTACTGTTTATTAATGCATATTACTTCAAGATTGCAAGTAGATTATGCATAAGTACAACTTATTAAAGCTCCATATCTGAATCCGTGTAACTAACTGCAGATAAACATAATCAAATACAGGATAAACATATTATTTTAAATATAAAAATCTATATTATAAAGCATTTGACAAAAAACTCTTAAAAACCACTTTTTATGCGTAAAGTACTGTTTATTAATGCATATTACTTCAAGATTGCAAGTAGATTATGCGTAAGTACAACTTATTAAAGCTCCATATCTGAATCCATGTAACTAAGTGCAGATAAACATAATCAAATACAGGATAAACATCTCATTTTAAATATAAAAAATCTAAAATATAATTAGGATAATCATTGAGTTCTAACAGAATACTTAATTATNATCATTGAGTTCTAACAGAATACTTAATTATTATCTTTATAAAATGTTATATTATTAAACCAAAAATAAATTATTTTGTTATTAAACTTAAATTAAATTATAATAAAAAGATAAAGAAATTACATAAAAAATGAGAACTTTTAAATAGTTGATTTTGATATTAACATTGATATATATTTTTTCAATTTTTTTATGATATCTTCAAATTTATATTTTATTCGAAAATAAAATCATTATTGCATTCTTAAAAACACATAAACTAGTATTATAGAATCGACAAAGATAAATAATAAAATAGAACATTAAAATCGAGATGTGTCTCGCTGCATTGCGCGAGTACTCTTCTAGTATATATATATATATATATATATATATATATAGCATGTATGTATCCCAGTAAATCTCATAACTTACTCGCCTTGATTATGCCTAGCTTTTCCCTCAATTCCTATCTTCAAGCTTGATTAAGTATAAAGATAGAGATTTCTTGTTTTTCGTATAGAACTAATGGTAACACTTCATTCACTATTTATAGGTAAATTCATTGCATTAGCTACTTGTTATTCTTGCTCCCAAAATTGTTGTGATAGTTTAACACCTCATGCTTAATATAAAAGAATCTTGACACCTTATGCTTCTAGCTTTTATTTGTCATGTTTCTAGCTCATGCGTGTCATCATGAATTTTGCCAACACATACTTCTAGCTTTGACGACTCATAACTAGCTTGCTTTGTCATAAGATTTTTTTGTGTCTCATGTTGTTTGTTTATAAGTCGCTTTAT